ATTATTTTGTGAGAAATTATTATTGTGAAAAATTATTTTTTGTGAAAAAAAAATAATTGTGACGGATTATACGGTGAAATTTTCACTGGAAATCACCGGAAAACACGAACTCGGGCCGAATTAAGTAAGTTCGACAGTGATTCCGTGGGTATAAGTCCTAGAAAGGGTGTGACGTCACCCAACCAAGTTGGCAACGAGGGAGAAAAATTCTTACGAGGACACTTTTCCAGCTCAGCTGTTCAACTTTTCAACGTAAGCTGTCTACGGAAAATTCACCAAACCAGTAAGATAGTATTTACATTATAAGTATACGTTGCTATTAACTCCGTAAATAGTCTATATTGCGAAAATAAAAAAAAATAATAACAAAATTTAGGGAAATTTTATATTTAAAACAATTTTTTTACGCTGGCTTTTAAATCTTATCTTAGGCATTTATCCGGTTACGAATCCGCTAATAATCAGTGTCTACAACCAACCCAAATTAATCCCAATCCCTTTAATCTTTCAAACACAAAAATGACAACAGTCAATTTAGAGGCAATTGCTAATAGTCTTAAAGAAATTGTTTCTAAAGTAACAGTAATTGAGGAAAATCAAAATAGAATAAATTCAAGCCTCGCGATTCTTAACGACGAAAACATAAAACGCACAGAGGAAATAAAAATTTTAGCGCGACAAAACAACGCATTGCTAACCGAAGATGACGACACCGAGAATGAAAATAGTAATAAGGAAAATAGTCAAGAAAGAGAAAGTTTCGCGGACGATAGAAGAGACTCGTCGAACAGACATCGCAACGGGGTATCTCCAATACTTCAAACGAACGTTGTCCCTGTTAGTTTGCTACCTGCTAAAGATATTATCCGTACAGTTGAAACCCTCAATGGTAAAGACGATATAGGGGTACAAGATTTCATTCGTCGCGTTAAAAAAAGCAAAAGAAAGATGCAGTCAACCCGAATTGTTGTTAGATTTTATATTGACTGAAAAAATTACCGATGACGCTAAACGGGCAATTCGCTATGTTCCGATCAATTCTTTTGATGATTTATATATTGCCTTACAACAAAATATGAATCTCGGATTATCCGTAGAATTATGTCGCGCGAAATCAGACAACTGTCGACAGGGTAGTGATACCGTCCAAGGATATAATTTGCGATTTCGGCAAGCATTAAATGAATTGAATTATGCAATACAAGCCGAACACGCAAATGCTACAGCCCGTAGAATTGCTTTGCAATTAGAAGAGACATCTGCCATTAAAAAATATATCATGAACTTACGGGATGATATTACTTTTTTGATGTGGACGCTTAATCCGGACAGTATCGGTAAAGCTCAACAACAAGCTTTAGAAGTAGAAACCCGATTACGTGAAAAAGCTCGACTACGATCAGGCGCCGCGCCAAGACTGGTCCCGCGTGCGACACAACTCCCTACTACATCCAATCATTCTGCAAACCCAAGGCCTTTCTCTAATAGTGGAAATCCATCAAGTTCACATCGGCCTAGCGGGGCACAATGCAACTTTTGCAAAAAAAAGTGGTCATTTAGAGTGCCAATGTTATCAAAAAAGAAATCAACAGAATTTTCAATCAAACCCCCAATTAAAACGACCACCAAATCGAGTTCATTTCACGACCGAAACATCCGCAGCGGAGGAACAAATCGAAGAAACACAAACACCACAGGTAACGACGGAACATTCATCGATAGAATTACACGAATTTCCGGACGACTACAATCAGTGTCAGTACGACCAACAGAATTTGCTCGACCCTTGCGATTACTTGTGGACTCCGGTTCATCAATAAATTTGATAAAAAATTCTTTACTTCCTCCATTAATTATAAAAGAAGCCTGTAAAAATGAATTCCAAATGGGGAATTGGAAACAATTTTCCGAACTTAAAGTCGAGATTAATTATCTAAACGAAGCTCATACGTTTTACATCGTAAATGATGATTTCCTTCTTCCTGAAGATGGTATAATGGGATTGCCATTTATGCAAAGTTACAATTACAGCTTATCAAACGTTAACTTAAAGCTAAATCAGCAGAAACATCCACTAATCGATGACGGGTATATTATCTCGCCAAATCAAATCAAATTGATCAACATCCCTGTATTTGAAAAAAAAGGTGATGTTGTAAGTTTTGATAATCCACACATTCCTGATTCTATCTATTCAATAAGAGATCGAACGATCACTGTTCCCATTTGTAACAACTCTTCGCAATTTAAACACATTAATTCCAACGAATTTAAATACCAACCTATCAAATCAGCCATCCCTGACGAAGAAATTCATCTTATATCATGCAGCGACTTATCCAAACGGTTAAATCTTTTAAATGAAAATACTCGATTAGATCACATTGAAACAGATTTTAAAGATATAATTCAGAAAATTGTACACGCTTATCACGATATATTCAGACTGCCTGGAGACCCTTTACCAGGAACACGACTCGCAAGCCACAAAATAGTTCTAAAAGAAGATAAAATTATTAACAACCGGTCATATAAACCTCCAGAATGTCATAAAGTGGAACTTACAGATCAAGTTGAGGATTTCTTAAAGCAATTTATAATAAGACATTCAGATTCTCCTTATAATTCTCCAGTTTGGATAGTCTCTAAAAAAGCGGATGCATTAGGACAAAAGAAATGTCGAGTAGTCATAGATTTCTGAAAGATTAATGACATTACCGATCAGGATTTATATCCACTGCCGGTTATAGAGGATATTCTTGATACCCTTGGTAAAGCAAAGTTTTTCTCTGCCTTCGATCTTAGTGCTGAATTCCATCAGATTCCCATGGAAGAAAGTTCAAAAAAATTTACAGCTTTCTCTACTCCAGAAGGTCATTTCGAATTCGAACGCATGCCATTCGGATTAAAAAATGCACCTGCTACTTTCCAGAGGATGATTAACAATGCTTTGAACGGGTTAATCAACAAAATTTGCGTCGTATATCTAGATGACATTGTAGTTTTCGGATCTACCATAGAAGAACAACAAAAACTTAGTTACGCTGTTCGAAAGATTACGCCAAACTGGTCTGAAACTTCAGCCCGATAAATGTGAATATCTTCGACCAGAATTAGAGTATTTAGGTCACGTCATTACGGCTGAAGGCGTTAAACCGAATCCAAAAAAAATTACGGCTGTTACGGAATTCCCAAAACCCAAGAGCGTTACCAACATTAAATCATTTTTGGGACTTTCGGGGTATTATCGCAAATTTATAAAAGGATATTCCACAATCGCTAAACCTCTTACGGAACTGACGAAAAATACTAAGGAATTTATTTGGACTCAAAATTGTCAAGATTCATTTGATAAATTGAAAGATGCTCTCTGTAGTGCGCCGGTGTTAAGATATCCCGACTTCGAAAAGGAATTTGTACTTACGACTGACGCCTCCAATGTAGGGTTAGGAGCCATCCTGTCGCAGGACGGGCATCCTTGTTATTATATATCTCGTACCCTCAATGCACCTGAACTGAATTACACCACGACTGAAAAAGAGTTACTTGCAATAGTATGGGAAACAAAAAGGCTTAGACAATACCTATTAGGCAGGAAATTTAAAATCCTTACGGATAATCAAGCATTGAAATGGCTATTTAACGTAAAAGACCCTTCATCTAGATTGATGAGATGGAGACTAAAAATGGAAGAATATGACTATGAAGTTGAGTACAAGAAAGGTTCGGAGAATACCGCTGCTGATGCATTATCTAGAGTACAACCAATCCACGAGTTAAACGACGATGCAGACACTACAAACGCTGAATTTGATTTGGAATCAGAATTACCTGATATCGAAACCATTGAAACACCTCAAGAGCCTGATTTAAATACACCCGTACCTTCACCTCAAAATAACGAAACAATTCCAGGAGCGTTGTTGCAAATCCCATTAGAACTGCCTATTGAAGATAATACAGGTGACAATGACGAAGACCTTGTCCACTTAGCACCAACAACACCTGTCAATAATGAAATACTACAAGAATACTATAGGTGGTCTGAAAACAAGACAGACACACGTGAAGTAGAGAAACCTAATGCCAATGGAAAATTATGGAAAAGATTTACTAAGAGACCAACTAACGATTTGAATTGTATCACATTACCCCAATACTCTGACAAAAGTTGGCTTAAAATATTAATCGAAATCACGGAATGGTGTGTATCAAAAAAATTAAGTATTCTCCGCTTACATTTTGACGATCCAACTATCACTTCCATAGAACGCATAAAACTTAAGACGTTGATAGCATTCATTAGTTTTAAGTACCCACAATTAAAAATTCTCAGTTGTTATAATTCTACCACAGAGCTTACCTTAGAAGAACGAGAAAAATTAATCAATGAAAGTCATGGATCAATAATGTCTCAACATTTTGGAGAAAACAAATCAATTCAGAGGGCCAGAGAATTAGGAACATGGACCAACATGGAAGATAATATTATAGATTTCATAAAAAAATGCCACACCTGCCAAACCCACAAGCTAAACCGTATTAAACGACGCTCTGAAGCTATTATCCCTGACACGCCAACGACACCTAATGACAAAATCGCAATGGATATATTCGGTCCCCTGCCAATCACTTCTCAAGGCTACGAATACATATTATCTATTCAGGACATGTTAACTAAATACCTTGTACTCATTCCTTTAAAAAATACCCAATCCGAGACAATAATCGAGCAACTTTTTGATCATTTTATTTATATATTCGGATCACCCAAACACATTTTAACAGATCAAGGGCAGAATCTAGTATCAGAACTGGTGCAAAATTTTGAAAACTTATTCAGAATTCAACATGTCAAAACAACTGCGTTCCACCCTCAAAGTAACGGTGCTCTAGAAAGATCTCATGGTACCATTAAGGATTTGATAAGAACAGCGATGGCAGATCTACATACTGAATAGGACTCGACACTTAAATTTATCTGCATGGCCTATAATACTATGACTCACGAAGGCACCGGTTTCACTCCTTTTAAGCTCACATTCGGAAGAGACGCGAATGTTCCGTCAGCATTAGCTACAACACCTAGTTTAAAATATCCGGAATTAGTACGATTATGGCAAGAAAGACATGAAAGATATATTAGGAAAGCTCAAGAACAAATAATGAGGGCAAAAGAAAAATATAAACGAATTCAAGACGCTAAAATTGTTTTGCCCCAGCGTTTATTTGACACAGGTGATCTCGTAATGCTAGAAAACACGAAAGAAAACAAATTAAGCCCTGATTGGAAAGGTCCTGCTGTTGTTATAAAAGCTCTTCCCAAAAATAATTACGAAATATTATTTAACAATAGTCGATTCACTATTCATGCTGACAGGTTGAAAACATACAACTATTAAATTTCAGGTACAACATGTTTCTCATTTGGATATTTATAATAATTGAAGGGGTTCAAGGAAACGTCGTAACCAGGTCGTTAAAAGGCACCACCATCTATGCCGAAAATCTTGGAGTCACGAAAATGTATCACCAGACTTGGAGACTTATATTGGGGATAGACGTCTCTGGTATCAACGACCATTTTCAACAAATTCAAGAAAACTACGAAAGGAGTTTCAAAATGTGTAACCGTTGCTCAGAAGAACTAACATCGAAAGCATTGAATAATAGGATTGTTAGGTTAGAAGAGAGTAAATCGGTTCTGAACCAAATGCTTAGAGTTGGACGTAGAAAGAGAGGATTCTTAAACATCGTTGGTACCCTGTATAAAACTCTTTTTGGCACTTTAGACGAAACCGACTTAACTTTGATAAACCATGAATTTGATTCCATATATTCTGATAACAAAATTCTTGCTGACACACTTGGGAATGAAACAAGGATGATAAAATCTTGGCTAAGTTCAACATCTCATGATTTACAACTAATGAAAGATCACTCCATTAGTTCTGTCAGCGAATTAAATAATATTCTCAATGCTACTAATGCTAATCAGCAAAACCTCCTTATCTCCAATATTATTACTTTGTGCAGTATGGCTATAAGTGAATTGAGTGAAGAACTCAATCTTATTATCGATGCCATAAACGACGGTAAACATGGAATTGTCCACCCCCAAATATTGACGCCTTCCATACTCATACGGGAACTGAAACAGTTCGAAGATTCTTCCAATACTAAATATCCCATTCGTCTCATTACGCAAAATTATCAACACATCATCGACATCTCCGAGGTCTTAATTGTCATTACAAACAAAAGGCTTGTATATGTGTTACGAATACCAATCTTAGAATATGAAGATTTGCAAACACTTCACTTAATCCCCATTCCTATCCAACATGCAAATGGATTCATAGCTCCAATTCCTACCCATAAAATTATTTTAGTAAACACTGAAAAAAGCTTCTACATCCCTAGCGACATGTTTGCGCTACGACAATGTAAAGAAACCGACGATCTGAGAGTTTGTAAACGCGTTCAACCTTCTTATTTAATCAGCGAAGTACAAAGTTGCGAAACTAATATTCTTAAAAATCAGAATAAAGTTATCAACGACCACATGTGTCAATTCTCTGCTTTTCAGATTATTGAAGTAGTATATATACCATTGAAAGATCCTAACCAATTTATTATCATTCCACAAAAAGAATTAGAATTAAGCGCATTATGTAATTCACAATCTCAAACAATTGTAATAACAGAACCTTCTTTAGTTTATAGTAAAACTGATTGTATTCTACAAACTCCAAAATCTATATTAAAAATGCATCAATCCATGGAACGACGAACTGATATTATATATAAGAAAAACATGTCGTACACTATTGATCAGTCAGACTTTGAATTGTTAACTTCACAATTACCCGCTGTACAAGACTCACTTCACCACGAAAACTTAAAATTTCTACGACAAATTTTTTTGTACGACAAAACTTAGATTTAATGGAAAATTCACTACAAAAAATAAAAAATCGACGCAGAAATATAACGTGGATAGAAGAGGGAACAGATTTTATAACTTATTTAGGTTATACATTATTGTTAATTGTATTTTTGTTTACCATGTATAAGATAGGATTTTGCGAATTACTTAGCAAATTGATACCTAAAAATTTGTGTATAAAATTGTACTGTGTAAATTCTAACGTAAATGCCACGCCAGTAGTCCATTATGCTTCCGTTGCTTCCGCCCCTGAGCAAGTAACGACAAATGATCCAGTCATTGTCTCAAAGTCTGTTAGGTTGCGAACTTAGAGACTAAGTTCAATCTAAGACGGGAGGTGTGACGAGGCCCTACGATTTCCCTTTTAAGTACAAGGACAGATATCGCACAAGACGACTTTTCAATAGACAGGAAGCATTTCCCCCAAAAACCGGACTAGACTGCATTCCTTACGTAATACAAAAGACAACCATCCTGACTTTTCCCAAAAGGGACTAAAAGGACAGATTGATGCTGACTGGCATACGTGTAAGACGCATTTTCTCTCCGCTTTAAAATAAAAGTGTAAAATAACAAGTGTTTGTTTTATAATAAAAAATAAAGTATTAAATTAAAATACTAATTTATTATTTTCCCGTCACATGACTGTCGTTACTTTTTTTTGTAAAAGTGTTTACCATAATATTATAACAAGATCGTTCAAATAGATTAAAATTAACATTTTCGTCATAATATTTCATTTTGAAAACTGTCTTTCATTATTGGCTGAATCAGTAACACTTAGGCTTATTATTTGAGCTGACTAAACTCTTACCGGTAATACCTCTTTGTTTTCCTAACGTTTTTTTTAATTATAATTTTTTAATGAGCGACAGTGGTCATAGACTGATGGCAGTCTTAAAAAAAGTAGTTTTGACATTCATAAAAATATTGTTTCTGAATTCTTGATTCTTTCAAGAGAGATCGTTTTTTTGTGACTTATATAGTTTATTTGAACATTTCGTTTTGTTTAAGTTTCGAGTAATTTAAAATAATTACTATCACTTTAAAATCCAAAGAATTTTTGTAAACTGACAGTATTCGATTTGTTTTGGTCCAAAACAATAGAATTTTAAAAACAATTAATACTTTATTCGTTATTAAATTAAAAAAAGTTTCGTCCGTTTTTCATTATTTAAACCTTTTAAAACAAGAATTGTTTTTCTTCTCTTCTCGTTATTTTTTGTTTTTCTAATTAGAAATAAGTTTCTCACATCGATCAAAAAGAAAATTTATAGAATCTCATTTCGTATTATATTTAATTAATTATATTTGTTTTGGTTTGTGGCGACTTTCTTGAGATTCAAAATTTATTTTTAATATTAATAAAACACGTGGGTAGGACTCGAGAATGAAGCACACAATACGAGAAAAATTTCCACCAGTTGCCAGCAATGTTGAGACGGGCGGCTGAGCAAGCAGTTGCAAGTGAAGACGAACGAGGTTGATAACGGCACGCGGTATTTTTCTGTCGTCTGCTAGAGGAAGCATAGACGACACCTATATTTCAAACGCGGGAATAATTTGAAATAGTAATTAGTAAATTAAAGAGTTGACGAATAGAAACCACGTGTTAACTAAATAAATGGAGATTGATCGCGTAACGATTTAGTTCGTTACACTCCCTCCTTCTAAATCGCGGTTGCTACTTGTCATTCTCAAGTTCAACCAATTGTTTACCATCTGTTCGTCCGTAAAATAAAGAATGATTGTTATTAAATTTTATTAACATAAATCAATATTTAGAACTGAAATAAATATTTTTTTCTTTTTTTATAAGTTATTGTTATGACAACTTGCAACTGCTTTAGTGAGGATAAAAATAGCTATTTAGTAAATTATACGCACATATTCATCCATACATTTGCTTTTATTATCAAAATAATTGAGTTTTTATTACATATATGGAATGCTAATTGTATAAGCTAAATTTTATTAACTAAAGATTTGGAGAACACTTTTGGTTCAAAAAAAGAAAATTGTTATTATTATGTATTATTTTAGTAAACACTTTGGTTTAAAGAAAAGAAAATTATTTTCGTAAGGCGAACATAGTTATGATGAACGCGTAAATAAAAAATAATGTCTGTAACCATTTTGGTTTAATACTTGTGAAACAAAAAAAAATATATATATGTATATTTTTTGAGGTAGTTAATAACACGTGAGATATTGCGTCGGAGAATTGTAACGCTAACATGTCATCGAACAACGCGGTACCTAAAGATTCGGTGGGGGGCTGTTGTTTTCCTCGACAGCTTCTGGTGGTGCAGTTGCAGTTCCTTCTTCTTCGTTTGTGTCGGGCTGATTGCCAATAGCAAGAGGGACACTTTGGGAGGATACTGAGATTGCGTCATCTTCAGAAGAACTGCTTGGTGTCGATACAGCTTCCACTGTTGGTCCAGGTGATCTCATAGTACGAATTCCGGAGAGTCCAGGTTGTCGTACCGAGCAAATTACAGACGGTGCTGATGGTCGTACCTGGTTTGGTACAAATCGATTACGGTTGCGCTCAGCTTCGATTTCCGTAGCCACCTTTCTCCTGGTTGCAATAGCTTTTTCTACCAGTTGTTGACGGCAAAGTGAGCAGTAAGGATCTGGCATATTTCGTGGAGATCTGCACCTTTTGCACTTGAGATGCTCGGGCAAGCTTGGTTTTGCATTGGCGAAGTGCGGCCAGGGGCAATCACGTGTAGAAAAATCGGTGCAGGAGCACTCCTGGCAAAATTTTCCATTATATTCTTGTGGGCACGCAAATTGACAGTATCCCATTGCGCCGCAATTGAGACAGCCGGGAGGTGGTTTGGGTCTCAATGCCGGTTCACGCAGTTGAGCCTGAGCGTGGTAAACCTCGCTTAACTTCTGAGCAAAATATTCCTTATAACGTTTGCTCAGTTTAGCCAGTGGTTTAATTTTCTCGTGGTCTGCAAGTAAGCTGTCCTAGTCGTAGTTGAATGCTGTGAGCTCTCCTTGGAGTTCTTCAACCTTCTTCTGAGATTCTTGTAATTTTATTTGAGTAGCTTCCATTTTTTCATAAGTATTTTGGCGCTCTCTGGATTGTTCAAGAAGGGCTTGTACTAGTCCTTTATTGGAAGGGTTTTTACTAGTGGATGTTGACGCTAACAATTCATACTTCTTCTGAAGATCGTCCGCGTGCTGGAGAGCTTCCTTAAGCCGTGTATTGGTGGTCTCAAGGGAGGAGAGAATCCCCTCTAGCTCCTCTCTACGAAGAAGGACAAGTCCAGAAGTCTCTTCTAAGGGAGTTGGAATTGGGTCACCGGGGCTGATTCCAGTTGACGTCAGTTGGAAGCGTAGTATTCTGATTTCCGCAGTATTCGGAAGTGGTAACGCGTTATTCGATTCCATGACAGTATCTGAAAAATTTTTACACAATAGTACGCGATCGAAGATTTTTTCTAGCAACTTTTAAGTCATTGACATGATATTTGCCAATTTTTTTGCCATTTTGATCGCCGATAACGACTACCATGGGAGATAATTTTTCGATTATTACTGCTGGTCCTTTATAACGCGGTGCCAGTTTGGAGCTAAAAGCGCGAGCTGCATTGGACAAAGTATTGTTCGGATAGAACACGTAATCTCCGAGCTCAAAATTTATATTTTCTTGTTTTGTTTTATTATAAATTTTACTCTGTTTCTTGCTAGCTTTTGCCATCAATTATTCAACTTTTTCACGAAGTACGTTTACACGTTTTACGCGTTCTAACCAGTCAGGGGTATTCGTGTCAATTGTCGAATTTGTTTTTGTGTCATTTACTTGTTCACCAACGCGTCTTGGCTCACGAGCAAAGTTCAAATAAGCGGGGGAGACTCCTAGTGAGGTGTGTACCATAGTGTTATATGCGAATTGAATTTCTTCTAAAAACACGTCCCATTCGCGATGATTGTTACCAAGGAGGCTTGCAATCATTGTTTTTAGGTTACGGTTAACACGTTTAACCGGGTTTGATTGCGGATGATATACGGGTGTAGTTCGTTGGATAGATCCGATTTCTAATAAAAATTTCGAGATCGTACGGTTTACGAACTCCGTTCCGTTATCCGTAATAAACGTTTTCGGTGTTCCCCATTTATTTATTAATGTATTTAAGGATTTTACTATTTTAGGGCCATCGGCTTTCGATAGTGGAAAACATTCTAAGTAACGCGTGTATATATCTTCGCATACTAAAATGTATGATTTCCCTGTTTTTGACCGAGGTAATGGGCCTACAATGTCTAACGAAACAACATCCCAAGGTTCAGAAAATTTACGAGGATATATTAAACCTTGTTGTGGATAATTTTTTGACTTGCATTTTAATCAATTTTCGCACTCGTTAAAGTATCTTTTTACGTCCTCACGCATACCAGGCCAATAATAATGTCTAAGAATTAGCAAATGTGTTTTACCAATTCCAGGGTGCGCGGATTGAGGGGTATCGTAATATTTTTTAATAATAGGAATAATTTCCGTTTCGCGTAAAACCTTTTTCCATGCATTGTTATCACCTATGCATTCTTTAAGGTGATTTGGTTTGTAATAGTATAACGTGTTGTCGTTATCAAGTCTGTATTTGTTGTGACGCGTGGGATTGCTTTGAACACGTGTTACCATCTCATCGTACCATGACATATTACGAGTAAGTAGTAACTGTGAAGGGGGCGTGTCTTCTGAAAATTCTTCGTAGAGGCGTGACAAAGTGTCCGGCGCCTCGTTCATAGTACCTTTACGGTGCTCGATTTTCACGCGGTTCGCGGATAATTCTAAAGCCCAACGAGCGAGCCTGCCACGTGGGTCCTTGATACCTTGAAGCCAAATCAAACTCGAGTGGTCAGTTATGACAGTAAACTCGGTGGCTTCGAGATAACAACGAAGTTTCTTGATAGCAAAAATTACGGCCAAGCATTCCTTCTCAGTAGTGGTGTAGTTCAATTCTGCACCTCTAAGTGGT